TTATTGAGGGACTTGGCTGCAAATGACACAAAATCCATTTATTTGGCGGCCAATTACAGCGAATTGGGCGCTTGTGGGCCATTTTAATTATTGAGGGTCATTTTAAATACTTCTCCAAACTTCAGGGACCAAAGCTGTAAATTTTCCTAGGTTTTACTATTAAAAACCATGCAGATCAGTTTTCATGAAAAAAGGAGAACTAGAATAGCCGGCGGAGAGAAAGAGAAGAGGAAGAAAACCTAGAGCCGAGGGAATTAAATAAACTGCCAAAGATAAGAGGGGAGACCAATTGGAATTCCACCTCAAATAGAGGACTAATTAGGTGGGTGAAAGAGAGAGATATTATACATACAAGTTGCTGAAATTGGGCAGAAAACAAGGGCAGAGTTGCTGGAAAGAAAGCAAAGAAAAAGATTGGAGACACGAGTAGAGAGAAGAGAATTAGTTTGAAAAAAATCTGGGTGGCTGCTTGTGAGTTCAACAGGGGCTGAAGGAGTTTTTTTTCTACAAACAAAAAGAGGCTGCCAACCTACTGGAATTATACACGCCAACTGGATTAAAAGTGCTGCTGGGTTAAATAAACATATACACATCAGACTACGAACAGGGAGGAAATTAGTGGCTGAACTGATTTCACTTACATAGTTGCTTGAGGGTTGAAATATATGTATATACACACACGATAGAGAAATTGGATGGCGGGACTTTGGAGGAAACATTGGGACTTGTTGCTCATTTTTATATGCATATACATATAATATATAATCTTGAGCTGTTGGAAGGAAAGCTTTTTGTAAAAGAAGAGAAGTGGACGGCTGCTTTGGAAAAATCAATATACACGTGCAAAAGTCGAGCAAATTCGTGGAGTCAATCATGTCCCATCGATTTTCGGTGATTTCCTTCCATTTTTATATGTTTAATTCCAATTTTATGCTAGGCTAAATATTTTCACGTATTGGATGATGACAAAATTGCTTAATTTTTAGTTTTAAATCGAGACCTATGTTTTTATATTAAATATTGCGTTGTGATTCCAATAATATGCATAATTAGATTGTTCTAATGTTTGCGCACCATTAGGATAATAAGTTGTTTTTTCGTAATGTTGGAAAACTCACGATAAGTAGAACACTATTATTGGGACACATGGGCAATAAATATTAGGAATAGTATTTGTGACGTGTGCGATCTTATATGATAATTCTAATTGTCAATGCATGTTTGCCATATGAATTCGAATTCGAGTTTTAAATCAACCTCCATTACTTTTATAAATTTTGGTTTTAAAAATCCGTTAACTATTCATTCGATAGTTTTAGTCACAAACACGAATTCTAATTTATCAAATATCCTAGAATTAATCCTTATTCCCTGTGGGACGATACTTTACTCATCACAATTATTACTTGTCAACGAACCCATACACTTGCGGGAATTCACTCGAACAGGAGGCATTTAACAAACAATAGTATTAAACTATTTATCGATATCTCAACTAACACTTATTAAAATGTTGAGATTTATATACACTAGTATTAATAAGATATAGTCTTGATTATATAATTTGAAAATTATGCTCATAACTTGAGCAATAATGTCACAAAACTTCATGTTGCAAACACCATGTAATCATCTAATATTTGTGTCAAATCTATTAGATACAAATAATATTTAGATGGTTAATATGATGGGTGACGGGGCCCCATATATCATCATAATTAATTTTCAAAAATATAGGAAATTCAATCCCTATTTTAGCTAGCAGTGTTTAATGATCAATTGTCGATAAAGAGAACAGATAATATATAGGAATTCATTGGATTGAAAAATCTTCTGATTCTTCATTTTATGTCCATTAAATTTTTTTAATTTCGCATCATTATTGATCCAGTGATGATTCAACTGGTCATGCCAAATAAGAAAATTAAATTGTACATCTGGTTCAATATAATATATAATTCAATTATTTAATCTCGAAGAATATGAATAAATATTATATAATCATATATAATTCAAGTAGTCAAGCTAATTAATGTTCTAATGACAGTAGTTATATGTTTTTCTTTCGGGATAAACATGAATTCTAAATAATACGTTTTTCGAAACATGTGCTGTTTTAAAAGCACGTTATATATATTTTTTATTTTTGCTCATTCAAAAGCAATATGTCAATATTCTTCTAAAATATTTAAAATTATAATTCAAGCACTTCGGGAGCAATCAAATATTATTATAATAAATTATAAAATAATTTACTTTTTGAGTGTAAAAAAATAATTTACGTTAGATTGTATGTAATTATACTTTTCGAAAGTAAGTAAGATCTAATTAGAATATTAATGAAAATTATAATGTGCTATTCTGAGATCACATCATATTTTACTTACTTCTTCAAGAATAATAGATCAATATTCTTCAGAAATATGAAAAACTTTAATGTCACGTTCTTCAAGAACAATAACATATTATTGTTTACAATAATAATTATGTAAGAATTTACTCTTTAGGAATAAAAACATAATTTTATGTTGGATCTTATATCATTATGCTCTTCAAGAGCAATAAAATTTAACCATAACATTAATATTTAAATACATGTGCAAAAGAATAGACACGTAAATAAATAGAGAAATTTATTTCGTGATTTAAATAGAATCGATCAATATTCTTCAAGAATATTAAAATTATAATAACTATTTTTTAAAAATATTAATAATATCGCGTTTCCTCAAGAACACCAACACAATTTATTTATTTATTTATTTTTATACATTTTAAGTTGTGTTTTCATCAGGCACACAACAGACATATAATTTTTAAGAGTATATATACAATATTCTTCTGGAATACTGATATTAACGATTTGTTCTATCTTTCAAGCTAAATAATAAAATTTGTGCCTTACATGAGTAACAATGAAATATTCTTCTAAAATATTTATATAACGTGTGTTGTTATTCTTCAAGAATATCAACATCATATTTGTTTAAAATAACTATAATTTAAATTATGCTTCTTCAGGAGCATTGAGTCAATATTTTTTTGGAATATTAAACTTGTAATATCATGCTCTTTATAAGCAAATAATATTCTTTTAGAATATTAATAATGTTGTGCTACTTCAAGAGCAACAACGAATTATTTATAATAGATAAATATACAATTAATATTCTTCTGAAATATTAATTACAACGTTGTGCTACTTTTGAAACAACAAGATGATAAATTCTTAATTTGAAGTTCATAAAAGATTATCTAAAAATATTTAATTACGATATAAACATGATATGAATTTATATAGAAAATTTAATTACCAAACATGTATTGCGAAAAAGAACCTCCATACATATAAGTTAACAAAATCGGCTAAATCTTTTACCAACATGCAAAAGATATTAAACGTGCACATGAATTCCACATATACAAAAATCAAAAGTAGAACTAATATGTAACAGATTCAAAAGACAGAATTAATGCATGAATAATATGTGATAAAATTGATTGTGTATGAATCCAAAGACATGAATTAATATGTGTACAAATTACACATATAAACGTGAATTAAAATTAATATACATACCTACGAAAATCAGAGAAGAATAAGCAATCTCGTTATGATGCATATGTATATCCAAAGAATTCACATGCCACCAAATTAATTTTGTTACACGTGATAAATATTAATGCCTATAAAAATTACTACCTTCACTAAATTTTGAAAAATTAAGCTATCGTACTGATAACGTGTTATAAAAGTGAAGAAAATAGAAAAGAATGGAGAGAAGTCAATAGACTTATGTGTGTTTTATTAAGAACCAAAGCCTTGTATTTATAGGTTAGAATCAGAGATACAACAGTAATAATTTCTAGGGCTGCAGGGTGTAATTGTCATTCACCTCTAAACCCTAATAAACTTTCATTTTACAACAATTTTTTATTTTTAATATTATTGATGCATAAGTTATTTAAATATGTATTTTTTAGTAAATCTATTTGTGTCTAGGTGGAGGTCCTGAAGGGTTTGTGATCGGTGTCTACGTCCTCTATATTGAAAAAATTAGTACAGAAGGAAATGGATCTTTTTGTTAGGTTTTTCACCTAAATTCGTTTCAGTTTTTTTTTTTTTTTGAAAAAATATTGTTTCATTTATTTTACGTATTTTTAAACTATTTCCATCTTTATGCATATTGTTAAGGTTTTGATATGTGCCCTATATATAGTTAGCTCTCTTTGCAAGCTAATTTATTAGAGAAGTTAGAATAATTGTCAAGCACACAATTGTTACAATTCTTTCTCCATTGTACTTGAATAAAATTTTAATTCCCCTGTCAAATTAAATTTTTGTCTTTGTATTCATCATGTTGTTATGATTAGTACTTCATATCGTGTAGTATAGCCTCGATTCGCCACCAATAAGTGGTACTAGAGCTTTAGTTTTTTATTTGTTCAAGGATCTTGTTATTGATATCAACTATAAAGTATGATATTCGCTTTTGGATAGCGATACTCGATTCTTGTTGTGGCAAGTGAAAATGCGAGTTGTACTAGGGCAGATGGATTCAAACGATGCGTTGTTGTGATTTGATAAGATGCCCTCAACTTGGTCAACGAAGGAGAAACAATGTAGGGATCGAAAGGCATTTTCACAAATTCATCTTCATCTTTCGAATTACGTTCTTTAGGACATTTTGATGAAGAAAATAGCAGTTGCGTGGTGGTTGAAGTTGGAACAATTGTGTATGACTAAGAGTCTAACCTGTAAATTGCATCCAAAGTAGCATTTGTATTCTCATCCCATAAAAAAAAAATGGATCGTTAGAAGATCACCCAACCTTTTTAAGGAGATCGTCATTGATTTGGAGACTTTAGAGATAAAGTATGACGAAAAACGGTCTTTAATTTTTTTGTTCTTGCTCACTTCGTTTAGAAACACGATTTTATATAGTCATGATATTTTCACTATTGAAGATGCGTATGATACTTTGTTTTCAAAGGAGAAGATGAAGCACTCGATTGAATCTGAGGCTAGAGATGAAGAATGCCTTATTATTCATGATGGTCACGAAAGGGGCAAGTCGATATTTAATTTCAGTAATCAAGTTTGTTTTTATTGCAAAAAAGAAAAGACAAATCGAAAGGGATTGCAACAAGTTGCAGAATAAATGAAATTTGGCTGCAAGTCGATATCGCAGAGACCTGCTTGAGTGATGGAGATGTGTTGGCTATTTCTGATGGCAAATCCAAACACGATGAGGATTGAATTTTGAATACAATAGTTTCGACAAGTGTTAGATAGCTGATATTGGTAAAGTCATACTTAAGGTGGTGGATAGGACAGTTAGAACACTTAATCAAGTTCAAAATGTTCCAAATTTGAAGAAAAATCTCATCTCGTTGAGTACTCTTAATTCAAAATGTTACAAGTTCTTTAGTGAAGGTGGATCTTTGAGGGTTTGCAAAGGTGTTCGTGTTGTAGTAAAGGGATAAAAAAAGTGCCAGTTATACGTCTTATAAGGTTATGTAGAATTTGTAATTAACAATAAGCAAATGTTTAATACAGTCGTGTATATTTAGTTTGGTACAGTACCATTGGGATTTGGTTTGAGGTCCATGTTGAAGAATACAGTTCGGTTGATTTTGGAGGATATGGGTAATGATACTTGGCCACCACTGCAGTGCCATCGCACTCAATTGTTAGGAAAATACCTTATGAAGATAGGTATGAGAATGTTGATTTTGTTGCACATGCTTTAAGTGTATTTGAAAGTGTTGAGTCTAGTAAGTGGCCTTCTACAAATGCATTTGGTGTTGATTCTATTTCAGGGTGTGTTTGACCATGTTTGGTAAATTTTAAATCATTTGTGATTTTTAGTTGAACCTAAGGTAATTTTGTGGAGTAATGTTTGGCTTCATTTATCCTAGTTGGATATTGTGGAAGAGATGAATAATTTTTGGTTCGTTAGAGAAGTTAGTTTGGTTCTCGTTGAAAAGGTTTAGTTCATTCCTTGCAGTCAAATTTTTACTTCGACCGGAGAAATTTTGGAGTTTCGTTCTATGCATTGTAATTTGTGTCAATGAGGAGATTGTTGGGTTTGCGATCCAAATTGTGTTGAACTTTTTTAGAAAGATATTGTTTCCTTTATTACACGCTTTTTATTAAAAAAATATTATTTTCTTTATTCCACACATGTTTTATACTATTTCCATTTTTAAGAATATTGTTAAGGTTTTGATATTTACTCTACATACGGTTGGCTCTTCTGTAAGTTGATTTATTCAGAAATTATAATAATTGTGAGGAACACAATTGTTATAATTCTTTCTCCATTATAGTTGAATAAAATCTTCAATTCCTCTACCAGGTTAAATTCTTTTCTTTATGTTCATCTCGTTGTTGTGATCTATTCTTCACTTAGTTCCGCCGTCCCCAACACTTTTAACTACATCATAGTTGAATAAAATCTTCAATAATCTAGTTATGCCGCCCCCAACACTTTTTACTTCATTTCTAAACTTAGCCAAAAAAGTAAAACTATAAATATGAAAGGACAATTTCTACCGTTACAAAATAGCCATAAATGAAAATATTAATTGCTTATAATTTAAACGAGCTCTCTATGTTATGCCCATATATGATGGAGGTTAAAATTTAGGTTAAAATCAACAATTAATTTTAACTACGTATTATATGAAAATCAATACTTTTCAACAACATGTTTCACCAAATTTTATAAGAATTTACTAAAATTTGATTTTAGTCGCACCAAACACGAGATATATGTATTATAAATATGATAATAATAATAAAACTATAAAGTGATGTATAGCAGGAAACACACAATTATATAATCTAGGCACTATCTAAGCACTCTGCAGGCCTTAAGAAGTGTGAGAAATTTTGGAAATTTAGCCATGTTTGAACCCTATTAATTTTTTGTTATGTATTATGGAATAGTAAATTGATGAAAAATGTATGATTAAAATAGAATGATTTTTTTTATTTGAGCGTAATATTAAAATGTGTGGTAAAAAAGAGTACTGTAGAAAAAATAGTGGGAAATAATATGATAAAATGGGGCTCAAATGAATCTAAATTGAAGTTCAATTACTCAAATTAAGATTAAGCCCTTGTTTGAGCCATTTTTTTTTTTATCAAAATACATTCTTCAATAGTAACTTGACCCCACTCCTACTACATATTTTTTAATAAAATAATATTATATGAAAATTCAAAACTTTATTTTTAAAATTTTTTAACCACACATTTTTCGTTAATACACGATTCAAAAATGAATTTTTTTGACAAGAATGAGGCTCAAACAAGGGCTAAATCAAAAGTTCAATAACCCCATATTAAGGGACTGTTCGATAGTGATTTTGAGAATCAATTTTTTGATTGCTAGAGAGAAAAGTGGGTTTCAACTATGAGTGAAGAAATTAAAAATAACGATCGTCTTAAGAGGCTAACGATAAAAAAATTTAATTTTCTAAGGTGAAAAATCAGAACCAAATGGGAGCTAAATTTATTAGAAAATTGTCACGTCAATTTTTGACCATTTGCAAATAAGTCTAATTATGGGTAAGAAATCGAAAAATGGGGACCGAACAAGTCATGAAACGGTCACTTTATACCTTCATTCAACTTTAGTTCAAATGTTATGTGATTCAATCTTTTAACTGTAATCATATATATTTTTCGATTTCGTACCACGTCAATTCCCATATAGGTTTAGATGGTATAAACTCAACTTGTTGCATTTTTCACCTTAATTATCAAAACCCACTCACCACATTATCTAATTACAACATTTGATTGGGAGGAATGATATTCATAGCAAGCAACTGCTAATCATCTTACGTGATACTTTATTAAAGCATTAGCTTGTTATTTCACGTAACAGAATTATAGATAATTAATACATCAAATAATAAGTTGTCATATAAAATGACTACTGTAATCGTTAACTATGAATATCATTATTCTTTTGGAGCTGAATAGTCTATTTTGCACTTAATTACCAAAAACAAACCTTGCTTTTACAATAAAAAATAATCAAAACTTAATTAATCCTAAATTGCAATTGCCCGTGACACGTAAAAGACCAACACCCCGTGATTGCTCCAATAACACGTGTCTCTCATACATTCGTTTCTGGCGTTCCTTTTTTATGTTTGATGAGACAAGAGGTGTCTGCATTCATATGAGCATGTGAACGTTGAGCAAATCATCCACCACAAGTCCATTTTGAAATGTGGTTCCTACGAAATATTTTATTAAAATTACTGTCTAATTTAACCAATTATAACGCAATTAAAATGTGAGTTTTAACAAGATCCTATGATTTACTTGATGTTATGATTCGTTTGAGAACGTTGATCTTCAATTTCAATTGTTCGTTCGAGCTTTAATCATAACGATTTTCTAATATAAATCATATTAAGATTTAGCGCCCCATATTTGAAATTAACTTTTGTTAAAGCTTAAAAGAAAGGATCTACCCTTCATATATTGTTTATTCATTCATCTTTAATTTACGTGGAACTAACCTTAAACAAAAATGGACATAAAGTCATCTTGAAAGGGACAAAATACAAACAATGACATACACCACCAAGTAGACACGACACTAACTGTAATAAATTAACGGTAACAACTTCGTTGGTTCATATTTTTCATCGATCTAAAAAAGTTCATATTCGAAAGCCTGACGTAATTGATGTAGTAAAATTTTTAAAGAATGAGAGCATATTCAATGGTAATGTAAAATTGAGTGTAAACTAATATTTCTAAAATTATTTTTGCATCCTTATTTATGTCATTGCGGATATATATCCAAATTTTGTTTTAATGAGAAGATCTTAATCCATTCTTTTGCCACCTGTGAATATATATAAAGAAAAAAAAAAGATATTTTACATTTTCTTTCATTTCTCTACTCGAGAGATTTTCGATCACTTTAGAAATTTTAATCAAAATTTAGATTCATTTTACGTTATGATTGAAAATGCTTTTAGTATAATAAAATAAAGTTAAGTTATTTTGCCTTCCGGGACATATTCTAGTGGTGAAAAGGAGAGGAATGAGACAGTCTCAGTTTTGCTGACAGCCGCAGTGTGAAAGTTCGATTCCTGAGATATGGAATTGAACTCTTTGTGGATATCAATGTACAGATAAACTCTTGTTCACTGACCTGTTGAGCCACATCTCGCGATTTACCTCCCTCACGATACTTCAAGGGCAAGGCGATGGGGCCCTCAAGGTTGTGATTCAACATTTTTTGAAATAAAAGCACTCTATCCTACCCTACCCTACCCTACCCGTGAATGAATATTTAATTCTATTGTCGTGCACCTACTACAAGTTTCGCACTTCTTTGGCCACAAATCACTACACAACAATAAATACTCACGAGATTCATTTGCTTTTACAATAAGATAAATAAATCAAATTAATCAGCGCATCCTGCACTCTCAATCTATGAACTCCAATTTTGTCATTGAAATGGGAAAAAGGTTCCATAGTTTTGATAGAGCATGTTTGGTTTGGATTAAAATCTGATTTTAATATAAGTTAAAGTTAAATAATCAATATTAACCATATCTTTTATGAATCCCACAACTTTTCAATCATACATTTAAAAATTTTCAATCACAATCTACTAAATAAAATCTATTTTTAATCTCCACCAATCATCCACTTAATCTAATTCAACCCGCAGACAGCACATTTTTCTAGAACAGCAGGACCTCATAGCAGCTCACAAGGGTGTTGCT